AAAGTACAATCTCCAGGAGATTCATAGTGCGGAATCCAGTGTGTGTGTGTGATGTGCCGCTACCGCGCCGGCTCCTTCCCCTTCGCTGAAGAGGTACCTGAAACCAAAAGTGTAAATCGTAAGCACAAAGCTTAGTGAGTTCCCCCATCATACCACATACCCTACATAACACATACTGTCAGGCATACCGGGGTGCCCGACCTACCCCATGCCAGGCATATCTGGGTGCCCGACCTACCCTGCTGAGCATACCGGGGTGCTCAACCTACCCCTGCTAGGCATACCGGGTTGCCTAACCTACCCCTGTCAGACATACCGGGGTGTCCGACCTACCCCTTCCGGTTTATCTCAACCGGTTACGGGGACCATTCCCCTCCTTCTACCACTATCACATATAACATATCATGCTAGAACATAAACATAACAGGTAGTAGCAAACATAGATAATTATCACAAAGACAATCATCTAACAACTCCTACTGATGGGCCGACATTGTGGCCGTAGGCCCACCCCTACTAGAAGGTAACTCACCTCGATGTCGTGTAGTGCTTGAACTGTCCTCAGCACGAGGGTCGGCCCTCCTCGTCTCCTAAATCCCTACACGACAACCTTCAAGTCATCAAACCGAACATACAACCCAACTAGGGTCAATACCAAAACCAAGCAAGTCAACATCGGTCAAAGTCAATGCCCAGTTGACCTGACTCGCCGAGTTGGTCTACCAACTCGTCGAGTCCATGCTCCAATAACCCGATCCAACCCCGTCACTACTCGTCGAGCCTTGCGAGAACTCGTCGAGTTCTCCTTCATTCAAACCATCAGGACTGTCTTCATCCGACTCGCCGAGTTGTATGAACAACTCTTCGAGTTCACCTTCATCCTATGAATATGTCCAGCCTGAGACTCGCCGAGTTGTATGAACAACTCGCCGAGTTCATCCTCAAGGGTTATGAGATTGCCTCGGACTCGCCGAGTCTGTTCATACACTCGTCGAGTCCCATGATTCCCAGGACCCTTTACGAGTCTGAACATTTACGGGACTTCCTTCCCGAACAACTAGTCCAACCACAGAAGGGATTTAGTGGTCACTACACACCGACTCGCTGAGTTCCAAGAACAACTCGTCGAGTCCCTTCTTGACCCTTACTATACAGTCGATTTAAATGGGTCATAACATGCCAAAACCATAGATCTGGCCTCCTAATGTCCATTTTATACGTAAAGTTCCAAACTTGGTGCACATGCATGGGGTCTTTGGCTCAAAAATCCATAAAAGGTGCTCTACAATGTGCATGGGGCTCTCATGGCCATAGAGTTGGCACCTTTATGCCATGAGACCCCTCCAATGACTCAGATCTAAAAGTAGAACCCCATGAATCACCTCACAAATCCGAAAATGGCTTAGAAAGCCCTAAATGCACCCAAAATCTAAGGCCTAAAGATGAACAACTGAATGGAAGACCAAAACAGGAGGCATTTACCTTGATTGAGCTGAAGATGGAGTAAGATCTCTGGATCTACAAGCCCCAACTCGAATTCCCAAGCTTCTTCCTTCCTCCCAAGCTTCACAAACCACCCAAAAGTACCAAAAATGGCCTTAGATCACTCAAAGCGGCTAGGGTTTCGATATGAGGTGTTCTGGGAGCATAAGGGACGATGGAGGCTGCAATGAGACGTTTAAATAGGGTGCAAACCCTCAAATTTAGGGTTTCACCCAAACAACACCTACTCGCCGAGTCAGTCTTCCGACTCGTTGAGTAGGTCACTTAAACTGTCCGCGGATCCCGTCTCTACTCGACGAGTTGGGCCACCAACTCGTCGAGTCCCAGAGGAAATACATAAAATTCATAATTAAAATACATACCAATAATCCGGTGTTACAACATCTTTCGAAAGATTACTCTGATTTTATTTTAAAAATGCATAAATAAAATCGGTCTTTACTGGCCGAGAAAATTGGGGGTGTCACATATAAATACAAGTTTTTCATATTTAAAGTGTAATGTTATACTATAAATATGCATTGTGTATATTATAACCATATTTTCATTAAATAGGTAAGTTTAATGTAAAATATGTAATTTTACATATAAATACATAATTCTAATGTAAAATTATACTTTAAACTATGTCATGTCACATGAATATATGTATTATTTTTTAATTATCAGTTATAGTATCTAAATTAAAATAATTATGGAAGTACATCAACAAATCATAAAAGGTCATTTCATCTTAGAGCACTCGGTATGGGTGCATCTCGTTTTCGTGGAGGCTGACGTGGACGTCGACAACGACGTTATGACGGGGGGAACACCGCCCCCTTCTCGTTTTAGCTCGTTATGGCACTTCTCGTGCCCGTTACAACTTATTGAAACGGGGAAAATGTATACTTTGGGATTTGACCCTTTACAAAAAAGGAAAAAAAAACCAAATTCGAAAAAAAAATCAAAAATAAAACATATTTATTTTCAAAAAAGTTGGTGTTGCATCTTGTTGCCCATTTCCTTAGTTGGTGTTGTAACACCATTTGCTTATGTGGCATGTGAGGTGGCACAACTTGATGTTGCATCTTGTTGCCCATACCCAATGCTCTTAGAGTTTAATCTCATTCATAATTTTATGCATCTAAGAATTTATGTTTATTTTATCTTTTTAATTCTTTTTTTTAATCATATTACACCATCTCATAACCAACAAACACGTCGATACACATATGTATGTTTATAATATGTATAAATTAATGAAATAAATTTGCATAAAAGATGTTGCAAAGATATTTTATGTATAAATACATATTTTTATTACATTTAAACCATATTTTCATGTATTTATTTTACTTTAAACCATATTTTTACAATAAAATTACATAATTATACGTAAAAATACATATTTTAGTTCGAAATTGTGTATTTTAATGAGAATAAAGGTTATAATATAAATAATACATATTTATACGTAATATTACGATTTAAAAATATAAAAAATTGTATTTATACAAAAAAAATGATTGTTAGATGTAAAAAATGTATTTATACGGTTTCAAATGTAAAAAAAATATTTATACGGTTTCAAATGGAGAATAATAACATTGAACGGAATCGGAAAAAATGATCTTTGATTTGCAACAAATAAACAGAATGTCAAATTTGAAAAAAAATGAAAACCTGGTGTCAAAATTGAAAAAATAATGAAAACGTGGTGTCAAAATTGAAAAAATGTGAAAACTTAATGTTTTTATGCCATTCTTTTTCAATTTTGACATATCATCGTGTCCACGTCAACACCACGTTTTCAAATAGTGCATTTCAGCATGCCACCTCACTAAAGACTGCCATGTCATCATGTCACGTCATGTCAGCGAGTAACTAGGTTGATCGATCACTTGATGACTAAATTGTAACAAAAAACTTAGTGGTCAACATTGCAAAAATTAAAAACTTGATGACTAAGTGGTCAACATTGCAAAATTTAAAAACTTAGTGACTAAATTATAACAAAAAACAACGTAATGTCGAAATCGATTTCTTATAAAAATATAGTGACTTTTGTGCAATTTACTCTTACTAAAATTAGCAAAATTTGAACAAAATTTCACACATGTTATGGTTGGGTCATTAAAAATACATTATTTGTTGTGAAATTGGTCCCCATATTTTAGACGGTTTTTATTTTTCTTTTTCTGACACCGTTTTCTTTTATAAATTCCCTCTCAAAACTTAAGACTTCATTTTTGCAATATGAAGTTTTTTAATGTGAAAATGGTCTTGAAGCCTACTACAAAGAAATGTTTTCTAAGTAAAAAATATGATTTCCGTAAACATATGAACAATTTCACAATACAAAGAACGATGTGTGATACGTTAAATTTTGTAATATTGGATTTTTTTTTAGTTTTGTTGTGAATAATTATTTTTGCAGTGAACTAGACAAATAATATATTTTGTAGGAATCATACAAATAGCACATTTCTCAATGAGGTGATTAGGGTATTAATGGTTATTTCAAAAGGCATACATCCCAATAAATTTATAATGTTAACATTAACAACCTATTAATCATACAGAGATCAAATCTAGAAATAAAATCAAATTCTCTAGTTGTATTAAAGCATTTTGGTGGCATTTTAAGATAAAATTAACCATAGCTCTCATTACAAAGTTCCAAATAGGAACTTAGAAACACTTACTTTTTGTAAATTCATTTAGGGTTTTAGACTTTTTGTTAAGAGAAAAACACAAAAAAAATAAAAAAAAATAAATAAATAAATAATAATAATAATAATAATAATTTTCCATAATTTAGCAAAAAACTAAGGCATTTACCAAACTAGCCATCAATTTCCTATGGGAGACCTACGAATATAGGTAAAATGGTTGTAAAATAGTCGTAACTGGCTCCGAGTTGTTCTATTGTTCCTCATGTATAAGATATAGAAGATCTCATTTTTTCACTTTCAATTTCGCAATAGATGAATCTAATAAGTTTTTTATTAAGTTGTACTAATATATATATATATATATATATATATATATATATATATATATATATATATATTGGAAGCCACATTCTTCAAAATTCTGTGTTTACCTATTTTTGAGTGTCTAAAATGGGTTCTTAACCAATTTTGTTAAATTTGTTTCTCTATTTTGCTTCAACAAAAACCTAAAGTACTGATCAATTAGGAAAAAATACCAAAAGATAGGTCCCTCACAAAATGGTAATATTTTTAACATTTATATCTAAAGTATCCAAAAAAAAATTTACTTTTTTGTGAAAATAAAATCAGTGAATTTTTTGTTGAAACTTACTTTTTGCAGTAGAGCTTATCACTAAAGCATTAAAAAAAATTCACAAAATAAGTAATTATCTGTAATAAATATTAAAAAATGGGTTATTTGAGGAAAGCACACATTTATGGGTTGTTTAGTTATTATTTTCTTACCCTAAAAAAGTAAAACTTACTTTGAAATCAAAGAATGATCCAGTTATTTGAGAAATGAATGAACTGGTAAAGCCCAAGTGTAGGAAGCAAAGTGTTTATTTGGTTTTGGAATACAAAGAAAGCCCAAGTGTTGCCCTCCCAAAGTTTTTTTTAAGACAATCTCCCTGCATTTCCGATTTTACTTTAATATAAATAGTGTCACGGAATTTAGATTATCTATTACTCCGCACAATACAAAAATTTCTTCACCTCTTTTCTGTTTCACCGCTTATTTCCTCTTCTCCAACCTCGTTTGGTTTTGCTACAAACAAGTAATCATTGTTTTCAAAACTTCGATCCAAAGGTGATTGAAGTTGTTTCATTTTGTTGGGTGCTTAGATCTGCCCCAATTTTTTCCCTGAGGGTTACTTCACAGGTTTGCCTTTTTCTCTCATTCATAATTTATCAAGTAGATTTACTGCAATTTGTCTCTGATTTACGTTTATCCTTAACAAAGCTTGTTATGCGGTCATTATCTGCAGGGATGAAACGATTACGAGATGATGGATATGGTAGCTCTCAATTTAAGAGGCCATTTGGTTCTTCCCGAGGGGAATCGTAAGTTCTTGTTTTCAAATTGCTTTAATTTTGTGGTTTTGGTGCTCATTCATGCTCTGATTACGAGTCCTTTTTATGTGTTGCGGTGATTTGATGTAAGGATAATCTTTTTTTTTTGTGTGTCTGTCTCAAGCAATTTTTTTTTTTCATAATTGTTTGTGACGTAGGATTTGCTTAAACTTTTATAGGGTTTAGTTTTGAAACTGCTGGATTTAGTCGATGTAACATGCTTTTTTGAAAAAGGAATTGTACGATTTAAATGAATTGGTGTTTAAAATCGCATCTACTATTGACCTTTTTATTAGGCTGTGTTCTTCATTTCTCCTTTTTTTTTTGTTTTTAATTTAATTTATGGGCGAAGTCTCTAATTCTCAACTCTGTCAGACCGTGTAGATTTTTGTTTCTAGCCTTTTAGGGTTTGGTGGTATGATATCGTTGTGGCAGAAATGTGGCTATCAGAACACCAAAATGAGAAAAAGGAAAAAGTCAATTGAAAATATCAATAAATTTAGTACTATTTATTCTTCAGTTGACTCTTTCAATGGGTGCATGAAATGAAATCTTTTTAAGTGAGTGGAATTAAAACCAAAAAGTTCCACAGGGTGTTACATCACATGACATGAAACAAACTGTGGGAAATTACACAAGATTTATTAGATGATCTTAGAACTGTTTGCACATGCCATTTAAATTTATCTTTGTTATTTATCATACTGTTAATCACAAATTTAAAATTTTATTTTTTACACTTTTCTTTTTATATTGAAGATATGGCCAACCACAAGTCCCGGGAGGAGGAGGAAGTGAAGGGGCAGGTGCTAGTGTAGGAGGAGGAGGAGGAGGAGGAGGTGCTGGGGGTGGAGGTGGGGGAGGTGCTAGCAGTGCACAGAAACTCACAACCAATGATGCATTGACTTATTTAAAGGAGGTCAAAGACATGTTTCAAGATCAGAGAGAGAAATATGACATGTTTCTTGATGTGATGAAAGATTTTAAAGCTCAAAGGTACGTAATTTTCTATTGAAAGTATATCATTCTACAACATTGACTCGGCCTAATTGAGAATTATTTCTCTGATGCAGAATTGATACTACTGGTGTCATAGCAAGGGTGAAAGAATTATTTAGAGGTCACAATAATTTAATTTTTGGATTTAACACCTTCTTGCCCAAGGGTTATGAAATTACTGTTATTGAGGAGGATGAGGTGCCACCAAAGAGAACCGTGGAGTTTGAAGAAGCTATAAGCTTTGTAAACAAAATAAAGGTAGACAGATCATCATCAGCGTTGCCATATTTTGAGTTTTTGAATATGACTATCCTACCCTTTGTGTGCAGAAACGTTTTCAAAATGATGATCATGTTTACAAATCATTTTTGGACATCTTGAACATGTATAGAAAAGAGCACAAGGGTATCAACGAAGTCTATCATGAGGTAAACTTTTCTATTTTTACTTTTTTAAATAAAATCATCCTACCCTTTGGTGACAGTTTGTAATTTATGCAGGTAGCCTCACTTTTTGATGATCATCCGGATCTTCTTGATGAATTCACAAGATTTTTACCGGATGCTTCTGCTGCTGCATCTGCACATCAAGCTTCGTTAGGGCGGCATGCATATGAACGGAGCTCAGGTGGGGTCCCACTCAGACTGGCACAGATGGATAAGGTAGTAACTTTTTAACATTTTCATATATATCTTTTCTTTCTTTTCAAAGGGGTTGATTTTGTTATTATTGATTAGCAACGAGGGAGGAGAGATAGGGTCAATGGTCCACATGCTGAAAGGGACACGAGTGTTGATTGTCCTGACATGGATGATAAATCAATGATGAAACTTCACAAGGAGCAGAGGAAGAAGGACAACAGGGAGAGGAGAAATAGTGATGATCCTGATCTTGATAACAACAGGGATAGGGACATCAAACGAAAATCTGCACGTAAAGTGGAAGATTTTGGAGTACATTCAGGTTCAGCTCCATATGATGATAAAGATGCCCTCAAAAGTGAGTAGTAGATGCTTTTTTCATATTGATTCAGTTTTTTTTTTTTTTTTTTTTTTTTTTTTTTTTTTTTTTTTTTTTTTCTTTTTCAAAGTTTTTTAACAGTTTGGTATTTGTTAATTATAGGTATGTATAGCCAAGAATTTACTTTCTGTGAGAATGTGAAGAGTAGATTACGCAATCCAGACGATTATCAAGCATTCTTGAAATGCCTTCATATATACAGTACAGAAATAATTACCAGGAAGGAATTACAGAGCTTGGTATATATTTTATACCCAGTTGTCTTTTTTTGGCATTACTTGAAAAAAATACAATGCTTCAGAAGAAGCCTTTTTTTGTTTTGTTCTTTGAATCAGACAGTGTATGCTGTTAAATTTGATGTCTTTGAATTTTCTTTATCAGGTTTCTGATTTACTTGGGAAGCATACAGATCTTATGGAAGGATTTGGTGCATTTTTGGAACGTTGTGAAAACATAGGTGGCTTTTAGATTACATATTTTTTGTTTTACTCTTTTGAGAACTCCTTTTGTATTGTTACTAATGTATTTTGTTTGCAGATGAGTTCCTTGCTGGTGTTATGGACAAAAGTATGTGTGACTACTTGTTTTTGTTCTGTTTGTATACACATTTTTTAACACACAAGTTTAAGGGAAAATTGCAGGAAATAGCAACATACTTTACTCTTTTTTACCAATATAGATATTGTACTTCATTTTTTTTCTTCCATAATAGCACTTTGCTTACATATTTTACCTATAATAGAAACATACATACATTCTTTTCCGATAATAACCCCATGTAACCTGAAACTTGTAAAATGTACTTTAAATTTTACCCCTAATAGCAAAGTGCTTACATTATTATACACATACTAGCAATGTAGCTAAATACAATTCCATACCATGTCAATATTAGCAACATGCAGCATGAAACTTGTTAACATTTTATAAATTTCAAGTTATATATTGCTAGTATCTGTAATGAAATGTAAATACATTGCTATTTATGGATAAAAATAAAGTACATTGCTAATATTTGTAGCAATAGTAAAGTACATTGCTATTTCCCACAATTTGCCCAAAAGTTAATTGATGGTGCACTGGTGTGAAATTCTGTTATCATTTCACATGCTGTTAGGTTGTTAAATCATGTCTCTGAGCTCTATTCTTGTTTGCCTTGTAATTTAACAGAAGCTTTATGGAATGTTTCTAAGTCAACAAGGACAGATGAGAAAGAAAGGGAACATAGGCGTGACATTGATGCTAATAAAGAAAAAGACAGGTACAAAGAGAAGTATTGGGGGAAGTCTATTCAAGAGCTTGACCTTTCTAATTGTCAGCGTTGTACTCCTAGCTACAGACTTCTTCCTGATGATGTAAGTCTGATAAATATTTTTCTTTTTTCCTTTTCATGGTTTGACAGTTTATATTTGGTATTTTGTGTTTTATAGTATCCGATTCCATCAGTAAGCCAAAGATCAGAGCTTGGTACTCAAGTACTGAATGATCTATGGGTGTCTGTGACTTCTGGTAGTGAGGATTACTCATTTAAACATATGCGTAGAAACCAATATGAAGAAAGCCTGTTTAGATGCGAAGACGATAGGTACAAATACAATACAATATTTTCCCTAAAACAAATAGAAACAAATATATATACACATCAAATGATGAAGTAACTTGTTTTCAATGATGCTTATAGGTTTGAGCTGGACATGTTGTTGGAGTCTGTGAGTTCAACTATTAAACGTGCTGAAGAATTGCTTAATGGAATTAACGACCGTTCGATTGGTTCAGATGCACCCATCCGTATGGAAGACCACTTCACAGGTGATTATTTGACATATTATATATAAGCAACATGCATTTTGGTTTGTATTTTGGTCTTAATTCTCGTATTATTTGTTATTTCTTTTTATTATGATACTTGTAGTTCTGAATTTACGATGCATTGAACGTCTGTATGGTGATCATGGTCTTGATGTGATGGACACACTGCGTAAAAACCTTCCTGTTGCATTGCCTGTTGTATTGATTCGCATGAAACAGAAACAAGAGGAGTGGACAAAGTGTCGTTCAGATTTTAACAAAGTTTGGGCTGACATTTATTCAAAGAACCATTACAAATCACTTGACCACCGCAGCTTCTATTTCAAGCAACAAGATTCAAAGAATTTGAACCCCAAATGTAAGTCAATCTTCATTACTGTTGCTTCTTTTCAAATAGAGAAATTTAAAAAGAATTGGTCGTAAAAACTTTCACTTGCATTTAATGGTTCTAATGTAAGGTTTCTGTAACGTTTTTGGTCCCTGTTCCAAGTAAATGACTATTTTTCGGACAAAAATTGCAAAAATCAGCTGAACTTGGACCAAAAATGGTCATTTGACTTGAAACAGGGACAAAGGGCAGTACAAGAATCTCAAACTAGGACCAAAACTGCAAAATTCAGCTAATACTTAGGGACCAAAAATGCAATTTACCCTTTTTCATATTACAAACTAAAAGCCTTTTTATTTTCTTGATGACCAGGCTTAGTGGCTGAGATTAAAGAAATAAAGGAAAAGAGCCAGAAAGACGATGATGTCCTTCTTAGTATTGCAGCTGGAAATCGACACTCTATTGTCCCGAATCTTGAGTTTGAGTTTAATGACAAGGATATTCATGAAGATTTATTTAAACTTATTAAATATTCATGCGAAGAGATTTGCACAACCAAGGAACAATTAAACAAAGTATTGAAACTTTGGACCACATTCTTGGAGCCAATGCTTGGTGTTCCTTCTCGCCCTGACAATGTTGAAGATGTTGAGACATCTGCCAAAAATGAAGGTACAGCTGGCGAGAGCGATGGGAGTCCAGGTGCTGATAGTGGCACAGGTAACCTTAACATCAAGCAAGGAAAACAAACTTCCAATGGCGATGATGTAATTTCGCCAAAAAGAGTAGATTCAAGTAAGAACACCTTGGTCAATGGAGTTGCTTTGACCAAAGAAGATGGACTGAGAGTAGAGAAAGAGGTGAAGAATGTTGGTGAAAAAGATATCCAAGGACGCGATCCAACTCTTTCAAAACCAAATAACGTTCATGAAGATGGTCAAACAAAGTCAAACATCGATGAAGCAGTGGCAAATGGAAGTTTTACTAAAGCACCCAATGTTCTGAAATATGATGAACCTTCTAAATTTGAGAAAGAAGAGGGAGAGTTATCACCGAATGGTGAGTTTGATGATGCTGACTTTGCTGTATATGATGAGGACAGTGAGAATGTTCCGGAAGGTGGTGATGTGTCAGGTAGTGAGTCTGCTGCTGATGAATGTTCAAGGGAAGAGAATGAAGAAGATGGAGATCATGATGATGTTGATGGGAAAGCAGAAAGTGAAGGAGAGGCTGAAGGGATAGAGGATGAAAACGGGACTTCATCATTGCAATCTTCAGAACATTATTTGGTCACTGCAAAACCATTGGCAAAACGTGTGGCTTCTCCATTGCATAATGGTGGGAAAAAAGATTATAATGTCTTTTATGGAAATGAGAACTTTTATGTACTTTTCAGGCTCCATCAAGTAAGCATACAGATACAGTTTTCTTATTTACCATTTTATCCTTGCCTTTGACCTTCTGAATCTGTCAAGTGATTTGTTTTCTGTGTTTTATGTTTTCAGGTTTTATATGATAGATTATTGTCAGCTAAACTTAATTCGATATCTGCTGAAACAAAGTGGAGAGCTACTAAGGACACACCCTCACCTGATTTGTACTCCAGGTAATTCAGTTCTTCATCTTAGGTTGTGTTTGATATGCTGTAATTGAAGAGGGAATGGAATGGAGCATTATAATAATGGAATGTAAATATGTAATGATCCATTTGATTACCTTACCCGTAACCCATTCCATTATGTTGCTCATTCCATTCCTTTGTGATTCCATTCCATTGTGTACAATACCCTTAATCTCGTGACAAGGATATATCCTCACTAGTCTATAATTCTACTTTTCAGATTCATGAGTGCTCTATACAGTCTGCTCGATGGAACATCTGACAATGCAAAATTTGAAGATGATTGCCGGGCGATTATTGGAAATCAATCTTATGTGTTATTTACATTGGGGAAGCTAATTTACAAGCTTGTTAAACAGGCATGCACCCACTTTTTGTCTTACACATATTAATCATTGCTATCACACTAAGTTTCTAATTGGTCCTTTTTGGATTCAGCTTCAAAATGTTGCAGGTGATGAAGTGGACATGAAACTTCTTCAGTTATACGAGTATGAAAGAGCTCGGAAGCCTGAGAAATTTCTTGATTCTGTATACTTTGAAAATGCACATGTCCTCCTTCATGAGGAGAACATATACAGATTTCAATGTGTAAGTTTGCATTTCCCCCATTTTTTTGGCATATCTATAAGAACTCTGATTTATTTATTTTTTTCCTTATGTTTTTGCAGTCATCTGGCCCATCTTGTTTAACCATTCAGCTGATGGATGTTGGGAATGAAAAGACTGAAGTGGTTGCGGTTTCTGTGGATCCTAATTTTTCAGCTTATCTTCACAATGATTTTCTTTCTGTTGTGCCTGGAAAAAAGGAATCTGGTATTATGTTGCAGAGGTAATAACTAATAAATATTAATATCTCTTATGACATTGAGTAAATGAGTATATATTTATGTTAATATTTAATTTGTTTCCTAATTACGTGCAGAAATAAACGGCAATTCTCAGGCATGGATGAATCTTCTGCTATGTCAGCTGCCATGGAAGGCGTACATGTGGTGAATGGTTTGGAGTATAAGATGTCTTGCAGCTCATCAAAGGTAATTATTATCTTCCTTGTTATTGTCGTATGCGATTTATTTTGCATATGATTAAACTGCACATGTGCACCTCTATAAAAACGTCTTCTATCTATTTGTTGTTGCAGAGTTGAGAATGTGTCACCAATCCCATCTTGAACACCTCAAATAAATGATACTTATTCTGGACACAAAAACGAGAATTTTTCTCTAGTGTGGTTCCAAAAATATTATATGATCTAATAAAGCCACTGCTCTTTCGGTGGTGAAATGAACAATTTCTATCTAGTTCCATTGTTGCCTTGTTCTTAAACCCTGTTTTTCTTTTGGGATAATTTGAAAATTAGATCTTTGGCGATCTAAAAACCATATTTCCTTTCATTGTTGCTTCAAAACCTCTTGTCTAGAAAGATCATAATAATGCCTTTTGACTTGATTATTGTCATAGTTTGATTGCGTGTCAAATCCCATGTCAAGAGTGGAATTCTATAGAATAAATATTTCACCTTTTTAGCAACGATAAGGTTTGTCTCTACAAGGAATGACATGTTATCAAGAGATTAGTCTTGAATTGATTACTTAACTACAAGAAGTAGTAAGTTACTTTAAGCAATGAACCGGAAAACTTTAAGATGACTGCTTGAAATAATATGAAAATGAGGATTTCTCTCTTGTTTTGTGCTATCGAGAAGATATGTAAGTCAGTCTTTCTATGCTATAGCAACTTGTGTATAGTTGTGATTTTAATCATGACCAAAAACAAAATATATACTATTAGTGAAATACAATGTTGCAAAAATCGCTACTTCGTAGACTAGCAACTAGTCAGTCTAGGCGTTCAATGGGGGCTAGTTGGATTACCTAAGTTGTAAAGCAATTAGTTTTAGGGAAGTCGAATATGACCAATATCTTATCAGAAAAAGTAAATAACAAGCTCAAAATAAAATATGTTCAAGTGTTAGAACAACCGCTTCAAGTCTTTATCACCATAATAAGTTTTCAACATGTTCAAATAGTAGGTTGCCCTAGAAACTTTTGTCGTTGAACGGTTGAAAGGTCCTCATTGAATAGTTTGACACTAGCGAGGTACCTACTTACTAATGGTTCTCTTAGTCTATGAAGGAAAAAATGCCTTTCTAATAGAAAGTTTCTTCATGCTACATTTCCAATTTCGGAAGATACTTGCCAAATGCAAGTGCTTCTCATTCATGCTGGTGGATAAAAACACAAATATCTAGCAAAAGTATAGAATACGCAAATTAGAGCGAGAATGAAGAAGAAAGAAAAAAACTCTTCTTCCCTTTGGAAACTACAAATTCTATAAACCATTATTAAAGTGGCCTTGTCCATATTCTTCCATGATATGGACTTCATCTTATTCATATTCAACTTCATCCACTTTCTCTCCACTATCGGTCTCGAGTTCTTCCTCAAAATGTTTCTATATGAGGTCTTAGAGTTCAACGGCTCCTACAACTTCACTAATTTCCTAAGTGGGGATTAAGCGCTTAGGTGCCAATTAGTACGCCACTTAGTTCCTAGTTGGAAACTTTACAACATTAGTGAAATGATCAATAAACCAACGGGCAATATGCATAAAAGCCATTATATTTTGGTCATTTTGCGGCTTAACAATTTTAAATCAAACTTTTCGATAAGGCCACCCAAGTTTGACAACATTTTCTATTGTGACCACTTTAACATGCTATATAGGCGGTCAAATGATCGACCTAGAAAGTTTTGTCAAGGTTGGGTGGCTTTATTGGGATGTTTTGACCACTCAACTTTGACAACTCTTTCCACTAAAGCCAATTAATTTTGATTTTTCTTTCTATTTTAACCACTTTAACTTACTAAAGAAGGTCTTAGTGGTTGACATAGAAAAAATCGTCGATCTTGGGTTGTGTTTATGGAAAGTTTTGATTAATAGTGGTTAAACTTCAAAAATGACAAAAATATAGTGACTTTTATCATTTTATGTATATTGCCCTAAAAAGTATTTTAGATACCGGAAACACAAACAAAAGACGAGTCAACTCATAAGTTAATTAAGCTCAAAGTAATTTGGCGTCTATGGTATTGTTCTTGATTATCATTCAAATTTATTTCGGAAAAGGAGAACTAAATACGTACAACATATGCTTCATTATCATTTGTCCCCAAAAGTAACCTTGAAGCTTAGCCTCTCATTTTCCCTTGCCTCGTGGTGTGGAGTTGTTTGCCACATCTTCTTTATGATCATTGAAAAATCGAATATACGTTTACACTATGAAAGGAAAGGGGAATAGTAGTAAGGTTGCTTTTGATAACTCACTATCAATGCTTTAGCTCTAAATTTGTAGAAGATTTAGTAGGCTAGTCTATTTTTTGTGCTAATCTTCACCTAATAAGGAGAATGCCTCAAATTTCCATCTAAAGACACATCCGGATCAATCTTATGATGGATAAGTGTTGATTAGATTCTCCTTTTAAAGCCATGTGAATGTGGTGCTATATCACAAGTGGTGGTTCATTGTCTTCGTTGGACCATCGACACTTTCTTTTCTAATTTTTGGAATTTTATAATTAGTTATTTATCTAATGTGATTACAAAAACTATACTATTAGAATAATAGTAATAAGCTTTGTTTATAATAAAACAATTTAGGAGGTTTGTAATCATTTGAATACATTTTGAGTGACATTTGACTAGTTGCATTTTTGGGTAAGCATCTTCTTTTATCCGTTTGACCCATTGGAGATGATACATAATCTAGAATGACCTTTTTTTTTTTTTTTTTTTACGTAAATTGGTCAAAATTGCTACTAATAGTTTGATTCCAACCACCGTAAGTTTCAATAGGAGAATAAGATTGCATTCCTTTTTTTCGTTTTCGTACTTCAATCTCTTGCTTTTAAGTCCTTAATCTTAATCTACTTTCATGCTAATGCCATTTTATCTTTTGATATTAATAGAACTAAAGAATGAACCATCATATCCTATGAATATCGATATTTTAAAAGCTAAATCATACGGTGATCCCAAATAATTAAGAAACAAAGAAAGTATTATCTAAAAAATATTAACTTGTGGCGTCAAAATTACGTAAAAGTTTTAATGTGGCAATGATGATATAAATTGTCAATCAAATACTCATAAGATAACAATTTTGGACTTTAACAAAGAAAAATACATTAATTCATTGCAAATTCTTGTAAGATAGTTTAGATACAATCACAACTACTATAAATGTTCTCTCAACCTAGTTGGGACATTCTAAGTGATATAAATAAAAATTGTAGAATACTAAAATAGTGTGAAATAGAAGTGAACATCAATAGGTGAACCCACGTGGCCTGTGTGAGTACCGAGTAATTATGGGAATATGTGTATCACACGTATGAACTCTTAGGTTTTGCATTTAATAAAGCAAAATTTGGCTACATGTTATATATTTGTTGTTCAATAATAACATAATTAACCAAGGAAAACGACAAGGTATTTAAGATTCTACCAAATTGTTCCGGCTTCCCACATTTATGTTAGTTTCATTTGTTACAGCTTAAATAAAACCATCAAAACAGAAATACCTTTCTATTTTTGTGGCTTCTAATAAGTTTGGATTAATGAACTTTAAATATACCTTCACAAAAAAGTAAGGTAGCAAATCATGAATAGATTTTATGGAATTCTTCAGGTTCAGTATGATTCAGCTCATAAATATATGGTGATTTGCCATTAAAACTGCAAGTCAGGCAAATTCTTTATTTTCTAATGCGATTTGATTTACTATTTTCAGGAATTGGACTGTAGTATGTGATTTGTTGTGAATCATATGATTTTTTTTTTTTTTTTTAAATCTTGATTTTTCATGTTATTAGTTCGGACATATATTGCGTCAAATAGCCATGTATTTTACCAAATTAGGCAACATACTTTATTTTTTACCCACCATAGCAACCTGCTTGCGTTTTTCTACCAACTTAGGCAATTTATAGCTTGTTTGATCGGTTATCGTTTAAACTTTTTTTTTTTTTTTTTTTTTTACTTTTAAAAAGTTGCTGACATGGCATTTTCTTTTTGTTCCATTAACATGGTTTCCATATGCAGTTTAATATTAATTTTTATATATAACATTTTATTTTTAAATTATTATTTGCTTCGGACACCATCTTAATAAGTTAACATTTCCAGCCAAAAATCAAACCGAAACCAAATGTTTACACCATAGTTGAACATTGCTATTTTGGGTAAAAAATAGAGTATGTTCCTATTTTGGTAAAAATAGCAAAGTGTGTTCCTATATGGCACAATTTGCCCCGTTAGTTGACAGTAATTATTTTCCTCTGCTAATCCAGGATTCTCCCTTAAGTAATTCGTGTCCGTTAGCCAGATTTTGGTTTCAAACATTAAATGCGAATGAGTTTTAGAGTAAAATAATTATTTGATGAAGTTTATCTGATTTCTAATCAGTTGAGTGCTGGCAGATCTCCTATGTCCTCGATACAGAAGATTTCTTCTTCCGTGAAAGAAGAAAAAGAAAAAACGTCCCATCAACTTCTCGTCATGCCATTGCCCACACAAGACTACAACGCTTTCACAGATTCTTAGCATTAGCAACTTCAGGTACACATCTTCATTTATGTTAACCAAATGTCAAAAATACCCTTCATCCGCCAACCAATTTTAAAACATCAGTCTCTTTTCTTTGTTGTAGAATCTTGATGGTAAAAAGTAAAGCTGAAATGGGTTGGGGTAAGTAAGGTAAACTTAACAAGTGGCTTGTGAAGTTGATATAGTTACAAACTACAAACAATTGGATATGACTTAAAGTTATGAGCCATGAGTTTGTGTAAATAGGCTTGGAGATTTCATGAGGTCTGTCTCTCTCTCATCATCATCATCTAATTGCTTCTCTATTTTTGTTGTGCTGCTTGCTTGCTACACAAAGTAAGCTTTTTTTTTTTTTTGTAACATTTATGTCCCCAATAGAGGATTTTATTGTAGTTCTTTTTTTCCCCCTATGTAATGCAAGAATTATTATTTGGAGGCAGAGATTAAAAGAAGGGTTTTTGTTTTTTTTTTCCCTGAGAAATAGGAAGCTCTTCTGGTCTTTTGTACAGAGCTTACTTACTACCAACTGTTGATGTTGAATACATATTTATGTAATCTTACATTTATTTGGCTTTGGCCTCAACAATTGATTTACATATGCTATTCTCTCTCCATTTACACTTGCTTTACAATATTGTTACCTCTAAAGACTACTACTTTTGTAGGATGCCAAATATGACATTTGAAAACATTGATTTTAAATAAAATTTGACGAGAGTTTGATTATTAGTGAAATATTTAAAATGGTAATTGACTTACTCCATAACAAAAAAGTTGAAAGATATAAAGCAAAAAACTAAAATTGCTTATGATTTAGACTGATTATTAATCAAACAAAACTGAAAAAAAAAAGATATTTTATTCTATAAAGATGTAAAATAGATAGACAATTATTAAGGTCGTATATTCTTTGTTATATATAAAAACATTTTACATCATTCATGTAGTTTTGTTATTGTATTATTTTAGTGATGAAGCATGGGGCATGCTCTTCATTTTCAATATGTACGATTTTGGATAAAATGTGAGATTCGTAGCTTCTGTTACATCTGTTGAAAAACCACTACGTGTTGCCAGTTGTATCTTGTTTCTACAGTATTTACACATTCATCCGTCACCTGAATCTGAAATATTATAAGATAACCTTTTGAGCAGAATATGAGCTGCAAAATTCAACGGATACAAAACTCAAAACAGGAGAGAAAAATGTGAGTACAAATATGTCTAAAATTCTTAATGAAAATTTAGTATTTGGAAACGGTGAAAAAGGTAAAGTTTGTTTAGATAGTATTGATTGAGCTATCAAATGTGTGATTGTGAGCAACTTTGTTTCAAATAACAATGAAATGAAGTGAAGAGCAAAGAGAAAGATTCGCCTCTTCCAATCCATCTTATATGGTAACCAAAAATGGCAAAAAAACATCTCACGGGAGTTCAAAATTGAGCCCAAAAGAGTTGGTTTCCAAGAGTAATTTGTAGTTGCTGTCATGAAGACAACGATAATGAAGATTGCTTTGATGGTTGTGAGGCTGTTGATGAAAACCAGCATACACTGGAATTAGATTTCATTCACCTCACAAATGCAGACACACTGCAGGTTTTGGCTCTTATTGTAAGGTTTTATATTGATTTTGATCTAAATCTCACTACTCACCTTTTTTTTTTAAAAGCAATCATCCGAGTCTTAGACCAAACCTCACAAAAAAAAAACTGTATATCATAGGGGTCAAAACTTTGGATTACTCTTATTGTTATTATTAAAATATTTTAAAATCACAACATATTTTATTTTAAATTATCTTAAGAATTATAAATCTGTAAAGTTGTTTTACATTTAAAATGACATTTTGAGCATAGCCAATGAGAAATTTTTGTTATTTTTGAATCTTGTCAATAAATAATGTCTTCAAATATGATATGAAACTACACTACTGAAAATAATATTTCTGTTTATAAGAATAAGTTGACTAAGGAGGTTTAGCCATTGAAAAATATTTGAAAAAAGCAATGTTTTATAAATATAAAAATGTACTAATAAATATCCAATATATTATGTTAATCAGAGCTGATTGTGACATTATGTTGGATGACTCATGGTAGATTGTGATAGCACTTTTTTTTACATTATGCAATGCTACAACTATAATGTAAAATTGGTCAATATTCTCATACAATGACTTTTCACTTCTCAATTTTGTAAAATTTGATTTTTTTTTTTTGCAATTTTTTGAATATTTATTATCTACATTTCCATAAAATTCTTCAATTTCGAACAATGATCAGATACTCTTTGAATAAGGTTAAATGGCCAAACCCAAAACACCGTGATTGGGAAATGGGGTACTTGATAATGTGATGTATTGAAGAACAAGTATATGATGATTGTAAGCTTATGCGGATATGACTTTTGACTATTATTTGAGGTTGATGATCGAGTATTGTACATAATATTTGTGGACGGGTTAGATATGTCCATATGAGTTGTTGAATTGTATTTAATGTGGGTTAGCGAATCTAGAGTATGAAAGGGCGATGGTTACAACCATAAGATGATTATTTGCGAGTGATGGAGGTTGCTACTAAAGTGTCAAGGGGTTTTTATAGAAGACGAGTATCACTAGTATGAGGTTTTTGTCTATGAGTTTACAAGTAAGATGTGATATAGAGTGAGAAATCCTGACAACCATATAATATTACATCTTCTCAAGATGTATTGAAGATATATTGGGTTAAGTCGTCAGATATGATCTAGGTTAACTATAGAAGACAATAAGTTAACAAAGTGTTAGGAATGCACTACTCTAAACTCTAAAGGTTAGTGGAACCCAAGGTGGGAGCGATCACATAAGCATTTAAGGGTGAGAGTCGAGTCGTTCCTTGAGTTTATTATTGCGTGATCATAATATATTTAGAGGTTGTGTGTTGATGTTATGTGCGGACTTAGGATTGTGGTGGTTCACTTGATCGGAACATATAGCAGTGATTATTAAGTAGAGATAGTTGAACCGACTTTATGGTGTGTAGATACATATGTCAAGTTTAAATGAGAACTCAAATATGAGTGAGAACCTTAAAACTTTTCTTCTAATATTATCTCAAAAAAAGCACCACAAGCATTTACATATGCTAGTGTTTAAAGGAATCTTAAAAAATTCAAAAAAAAAAAAGTTTTTTTTTTGGATTGTATACATGTGCACGTAAATGTGCATATGCGCATATTGTAAAATTTTTTAATCAAACACCATAAAATGTATACATATACGATGTCTAAGGCACTCGTGAAGAAGAAACACACACAAAATAATAATAATAATAATAATATCTTTTTGTTATTATAACTTTGGAATATTGTATGCCTTCTACCTTGATTATTTTTGATGGGCCGATCAAGACATTTGTAACGTCCGCGATTTAGGGTTATACATTTTAAGCTTTAAGGTGTTAAAAATTCCATTTAGGGGTTTAAATGATATTTAATTGAAAATGTGTTTTAATGAGTAAACGTTAATGAGAATTATTAAGGAACTTTCCCTTTGTGAAAATTAAGGAAGGTTGAAAGATTAATGTACATTAACCACATTCCAAGCAACCCAATTTTTTTTAACATCGTCACCACCCCCATAAGAACATCCTTCTAAGCCTTTCTAGGAGTCGGGAACAAGGAGAATAGTAAAGAGGGTGACTATTAAGAACGAACTTTACAAGAGTGAGACAACCTCCAAAAGATAAAGACTTTGCTTTCCACTTTGAAAGCCTATCCTTAAATTTGTCAACCACCATAGTCTAAGGCTTCACAAGTTTCATATTGGCCCCCACTGGTAGGCCGAGATAAATGAAAGGAAAAGAGGTAGGCTTGCATTTCAAAATGCTAGCAAATCTATCAATTCCCAAGTTATTAACACCAACATCATAAACTTTGCTTTTGTGCAAATTAATTTTTAAACCCAGAGCAAGATAAAAACAACGAAGTAATCTATTTAAGTGGGAAAAAAGTTCTTAGGTTCTTGTCCTAAATGAATCACATTAGTTACATTATTTCATAATCACATTGAAAATTTTCACTCGAAAAAAGTTCTTAGATTCTTGTCCCAAAATTCACCAAAATTTAGTGAGTTATATTTCCATGATCACATTAATTACATAATTTTCATCAAGTTTATTAAAAACAACTTTATTGATGAGATGTTTAAAACTATATCATCAAATATTTATGCCTATTGTCATTGTCCCAAATAAATCGATCAGTATTTTATAATTTAAGTTAGAGTTAATTATATAACTAATCCATGAGGTTTACCATAAATTGTGAATTGCGTTTATATCTTTAATGCTTAACCTTTAGCCTCCTTAAGGTTTGCATATGTTTTGAGTTGCGTCCCCACATCAAACATTGTTACCCTTTTGTTGTTAAAGTCTCCCCACACGTGATATGCACATGCAAAGTATTTTAATTATCTCTTCTTTTCGTATTCTCTCTCTCTCTCTTACACACCTTGACGTCACCACTATTTCCAAAAGTTGTAATCATTAAGGTTGCTAAATCAGTCCCCTCATGTTAGCTTTAATAAACAACATGTTATTTCCATTGAGTAAAGATTGTTTCTTATTCTTTGTTCTTCTTTCTTCAAAAACCCCAATCTTTGAGTGACCTTTTTGGCAAGACGATGGTTGTGTGGTAGTTTAGAATAATAATGGTGCACTTTGACCTACAAGAGGAATGATTCCTCAGTGATTACATAATTTAAACACGATCTTCTTCCTTGATTATTCATGGGATTTGATGTTTATAAATATATTTAATGTGTAAATAACTTTGGAATATTGTATGCCTTCTACCTTGATTATTTTTGATGGGGCCGATGAAGACATTTGTAACATCCACGATTTCGGGTTGATACATTTTAACCTTTAAGGTATTAAAACTTCCATTTAGGGGTTCATTTGACATTTAATTGAAAACTTGTTTTAATGAGTAAACATTAATGAGAATCATCAAGGAACTTTCCCTATGTGAAAATTAAGGAATGTTGAAAGATTAATGTACACTGATATTTTTTGCACATAACTTTATTAATAATAAAGAGTATAATTTGGTAAACTTTGATAATTACCGATTCAAATAGAAATGGAAATTAAATAAAAGATTTAAACTTAAAAGACATTACTTTGATTAGATAAGTATTAGGGGCTTAATTGTGAAGATATAATGTACAAGATTATGGGAAATCACTCAATAGGATTTTAGAACTCTTATTCCATTTTTGAGATGAAGGAAAGAGTAATAGAGAAACCTTATGAGCTTAGTGGAAAATCACAAAGGAAATTCGAATTTGG